ACCCAGAGTATTACATCGTGCTAGGCACTCCGAATGGGAAAGGTGTGGTATGGCTTTTGAGAGAGCATCCGGAAACCCTACACGCATTCGTCAAGCACGTGTTCGTGGAAGAAAGACACATAATGTTTGAATTGGAGGATGTGAATGGGGATCCGGATATGACATTGATCGACGAAAAGTGCTGCTCCTCAACGCATTCATCTTGTGTCATACAATGATACTTCTACTTCTTTTTTGAGTCTGGAAGCCTACTCTTGTACACCGAGAGACCAATTTCTTGATGTCCGATGCAAGGCTATAGAATGTCTTCTCGATGTTGATGTTGTTCTTGGCCGAGACCTCCAGGAAAGGGACACCGAGCTCATCGGCAAGCTGCTGGCCCTGTTCAGTCGAAATAGCTCTCTTCTCCTCCTAGTCGCACTTGTTTGTAATAAGGATTTTGTGTACTCCCTCGCTAGCGTGCTGCTTAACGTTGGTAGACCTGGACAGACCCGCGGATAACCTATATGGGTCGACCCGTGGGTTAACCTATAGGCGGGTCGTGGGTTAGACCTCTTGACCCGTGGGCGGGTAAAGATTTTTTTGATTTATCCCGCGGGTTAATAGGTTAACCTATTTAACCTATTTAGGTAGATACTTTGTTAACTATATAACTTTTATAAATTATATTATTCTTAGCTATATTTTTAGGTATTATATTTATTTTAGTTAAATAATTTTTTATAGTAATTAGGAGAATAATTCTTAAAAAATAATTCTAGAGAATATTATTTTAAATATTAATTAATTTTAATTTTAAAGCTTATAATTATTAAGTATTTATAGATATTTATAAACCCTACTAGAAATCTATAGAAGGCTATAATTATCTTTATAATTATTTCTTAATTTTTTTACTATAGTTAATAAGATATATTAATTATAATTATTAGATCTATAGTATTCTCTTTTTTATTATTACTAATTAATATAATCTTTTTATAAGTCTTTTAGGTCTTTTTTTTCTTTTATATAATTTCTAACTTATTTTACTCCTAAAACTCTTAAATAAATATAAATTGTTTTTTCTTAATTTCGAATTTAGTAATATATATAAATATTATTAGATCTTATATAATAGATATATTTAGTGCCTTTTATTAATAATAATAAATATTATATATAGAATTAAATAATTACTTAATATTAATATTAATAGCTAGGATCGAGAGAAGATTATAGATAAGGTTTATAAATATAGGAAATTTATATTAATAATCCTTCTAGAACTAATAAGATAGGATTAGGATAATATCTAGATAAAAAGCGGATTATAATAATTAATATAATATTTAAATAGATTAGAATTAATATCCCTATTAAAACTAGGGTTCTAAGATAAGCCTTAAAACCCTAGTTCTAATAGAGATAAAAAGATAGAAACTTAATAGATTAGAACTAGGGTTTTAAGTAATTATTTAGAATCTTAGTTTTAATAAAAATATATATAGAAATTTACCTTTTTTTAATATACTATATTATTTTAGACTAGGAGTTTAAGATAGAAGAATTAACTATTAAAAATATATTAAGCTTACTAGTTTAATAAGACTATTTTATTTTAGATAGTAATTAAAAATTTAGAATATTACTAGCTTAGTAATTTAGAAGCTAACTTTTAAGATTTTATTAGTATTAGATATTATAATCTATCTAAAGATAGTTTTAGCCTTTAATTTAAAAAAAATTAATCTTATATTAAAGGGCTAAGATAGTACTAATTATATAGATATTATTAAGTTTTTTATTATTTATTATAGAGTAATATTTATAGAGTTTACTTTTAGCTAATTTAAGGGCTTAATATATTTATTATTTCTATTTAACCTTCTTTTTATTAAGCTATTTAATTAATCTTTTAAGATAATTAAATAGCTTATTATAGATAATAAAAATAGTATAAATAGTAATATTCTTTATTTTTAAGAGGACTATAGTAAATTAGAAAAATAGCTAAATAATATTAAGAAGATAATTAATCTAATATTATTTATCTATATTAATTTTAAGATAAAAATAATTATATTTAGAGCAAAATCGATTAAAGACTAATTATAACTATTTTATATATTAGAGTATTAAAAAGGTTAAATTCTATCTAATTTAGATATCTTAAATTAGAACTAATTAAAGGTGATTAGGCTAGAGACTAAAAAAAGACTCCTAATATTAAGGGTTTATATTAATAAAGATTATAAGGTTTCTAATCTAAAATATAAAATAGGTTAGTATTTTAATTAATATATAAAGAGTATAGATATATATCTTTATAAGAGTTATTATAATATCTTATTTTTATATTTTTTAATAGATATATTAGATATATTCCTTAGACTAAATAGTTTTAGTTATCTTATTCTAAGGATTTATTTTTATCTAGCTAAATAGTTACTTTAAATTTAATTAAATTATATATATAATATATAGAACCTAAATAATTATTATTTTAGAGTTAATATCTAATAATTAAATAGAATCTTAGATATTTAAAATAAAGATAGAGTTATTTAATATATTATTAATTATTACTATAAATACTTAGTCTTTAATTTAATATTTCTAGAGGATATTAAAAAGGGTTATACTAAGATTCTATCTAAAATATATATTAGAAATAGTTCGAAGCTAAATAAAACCTCTTAATAATTCTAGTCTATATTAATAAAATAGCTAGAGATAGCTATAAATAGTTATTAAAATAGTAATATCTAATAATTAAGACTAATAAAGAGCTTAATCTTAAATAAAAGCTTCTAAAATAAATCTTTTTATTAATTTTAGGTTATTCCCTAGATTTAATATTATATAGTTTAATAAGAAAGGAGACTAAGAATAGATAATAATAATTAGATTATTTAAAGAAAGGCTTAGAATTTAGGATATTTAATAGTTTAAAAAAGAAGCTATAAAATAGTTATTATAGCGATTAACTATTATTTCTATAGCTCTTAAATAATTAGCTAGACTATTTAAGAGGAGTTCTTAGTCTAAGAAAGATTAGCCTATAAATTAAATAATAGCTATATAATATACTATATATTCTATAAGATATTAGATTATTAAATATTTAGTAAAATTTTAGTTTTTTTAGTATATACTCTAATTCTAATAGTATTAGAGATTTATTATCCTATTTTTAGTATAGACTAGATAATTTATAATCTTATTATATTATTTATATAGGAGCTTTAGCTCTTTTATTACTAAATATATAATTTAATTAAAATATAACTATATATTAATCTATTATAGACTCTCTTAGTTTATCTTTTTTATAGTATTATAAAAACTACTAATTTAGGTATTAAGCTATTAGTTTAAAAATTCTATTTTATTTATACTATTAAAAATTACCTAGGTCTTTTTCTAATTATTAGATTATTTTAGTATTAATAATATAATAAAAGGGAGGCTTTACTTAGTTTATTAGCTTTTTAGTAGTTCTAAGAGGGTATCGAGAAATTAATTAAAATAGAAAATAGATAATTTAAACCCTTTACTCTTAATAAGAGAGAGAGGGTATAAGATAGATAACTAAGATATAGAAAAGATATAGTAATAGTATATTAAAGTAAAGGACTTAAGATATAGAAAAATAATCTAAGGTAAATTATTATAGATTTAGGGGAATATATAGGTCTAATACTTATTTTTTATTAGTAAATAGAATTTAGTACTATTCTAGTACTGAATTTTATAACTAATCAGAATAGACTCTATTAATATATACAAAGTTTATTAGATAGTAAGAAATAGGTTAATAGATTAACCTATAGACTAATCTATTGATCTAAATAATTAGATATAAATAATATCCTAAGAGTTTTCTTTTTATCCCTAAAAAATTTTAATCTAACTAACTAATATTATTATTTTATATAAATCTAGAAAAAATATTTAAAATAATTCTTTTATATAATTAAGACTATAATATACTTATATATTAATAAAGAAATATTAGATATTAGATTTATATCTATTTTATTATTTCTAATATATATAGTTTATTTATATAAAAAGTAGTAGTACTACTATAGACTTTAAATATATATTTTTAGGTTTAGTATAAGAAAGGGTTAACTAATATCTTCTTTCGCCTATATCTATCTATTATAAAATATAATTCTTATCTTAAAGTATTAAATTAATAAATTAATATATTATATTCTAAATATATTATTATTATATAATATTCTTTTTATAAAGAGTTATAATTATAAGTTATATTAGAACAAAAATAGTATTTAATAATAGTATATTATTAAAAAAGGTAAATAAATTATCTATCCTAATTAAGAAATTTATGCTAAAATAAGTCAAAAATAGGTTAACCCGTTAACCCGCGGGTTAACCTATAGACGGGTCAGGATTTTATTGACCCGACCTATAGGTCGTGGGTTTAGGTTATGGGTCAAGATCTTTGACCCATGGGACGGGTCTGTCCATGTCTATCGGTAACCTATAGGAAGTTTAGATATTTATTAGTGTTAAGTACAGTAGTAATATAAAATTCATAAGGGTAAGAACCGAGAACGTATTAGAAATAAAAAACTTTTCTTTTACACTGAGAGTGTCGGAATTAAATTTATAAAATAGGCCTATGATTACACCTAGGAGGTGAGTGCACTGTATATGAGCTATGGGGCTGGATATAGGCGGTTCGCCCCCGATGTTGATCTAAAAATGGCCTGAAAGTGGGGTTCGTGGGCGAGTCGTAAGCCACAACGCCTATAGACCGCTCAATATGCGAAGACCACGGTTTCCCTTCTATTGCAAAAGAGAATTATCGTCTTTTGTGTGTCCAGAAACTGAAACTTCTCCTTCGCGTATTTCTAGTAATTATATTTATTTAGCTCTTTCCTTTAACGGATATATCTTATAATTATATTTATTTTCTATGTATTTTGCTGATAGATATATTTATTCATAACAGCTCCTTAAAGTAGCTACTTATAATAGCTGCTAGAAACTCTATCGACTCTAATTATACCCTTAAGAGAAAATTAATACACCAAAAACAATATCGTCGCAAAATAAACCTAATAAAAAAGATATACGAATATAGTAAAATATATAACGTAGATATATACGTGGGTATTCGCCTCCGGGAAACTGGCCAAGTATATATCCTATACTCTAACTCTTCTAGGTTTTAGGCATTCCTTACTTCCTAATTAGTAATATCGCGTAATCTTAGCTTTACGGTATAAGACTAACTTTATAGGGTTCATACTACCTAACCCTAAAGATTATTACGGACCAGGACCTAGAGAAGGCAGTGAAGCCTATAAATTGTGAGGGAACAGATTAAATATTGCTTATCTATACATACTCTAATTATATGCCGGTTTTTATTATTAGAGAATATAGAGGGGAAGCCATATCCATATTGTAAGGTTCTTGTAGGTTAGAACTGATGAGGTCAAAGCTGCACTGCAGTCGCACAGGACCTGCCTGAGCCCAGAGTTTCCGAATTCGACTGGCGTTCGAGAAGGTATGGCCGCAATATAGACAGATGCCCATTGACACTCGTATTGTCGCATTTTCGCTCCGCCAACGGCGGAAGATTTCTTGGTGTGAGGTACAATAACAATCTGGTTGTATATTAGGTATATCTACCATGGTTTCCGGCCGAAACGATCGGGGGACGATTGAGGACGATTGGGGACGATTGGGGACGATTGGGTGTGATTAGGTGGGGACAGGTGTCTCCGCACACAAAACGATTACCAGCTCAGGCCCCTCATCCGGGTGAGGTATTTTCCGATAAATAACTGAGATCGTAGCTCAGTGAACATACTACTGTACGCTCGCGATCGGGTTCTAGCTCGTGCCTGGAAACAATGAGTAGATCTTAGAAAGATCTGCCTTGGAATCTGAACCACCTGAAAAATTAAGATGGGTCCTATAATAAACTCCGGTCCCAGAATCCTATATTTTGTTCCCGGAAGCCATTACCGAGGCTCCCAGGGACTTTCTCCTCGTCTCCAGGATCAACATTACCATTCCTGGGGGCTACATATCTCCTGGGGACTGCTGCTATAGCTCCCGGGGGCACGCAGCGTCGTGCCTGGGAGCTTTGCCCTGGTTCCTGGGCTTAGCTTAGCTAACACAGTACAGTTCTCTGATACTACTGCATAAGATTCAATGAACGCACTCTGAACATCTTTTCCAATAAATGCGGTGCCGGAATACTCTGTGGTTTTACAGAATAATTCGATAACAGTTTACACCTCAGCCGCTCGTACTTTTACCCCTACAACACTGTCCCTGCCCTGCCAGTGGACAGGTGGATGCCGCCGGGGTGAGTTTGGGGTGAGAGTTGCTTTAGCGTTGCGTCCGGGTGAGGATGGGGCCTACGGCAGCTGCGGCACAAATGGATGTCGGTCGATTAATGAGTCCAGGCACTGGGTACGGCCAACAGAAAGCACGGGTGGCAGTAAACGAGGTCGGCCGTGGCTTTGGTACACATAATGCCAAGTCCGGCCACAGTGAGCAAGCGGCCTGCAACAGCGTCAATTGACCGTGTCATCCTTATATAAAAACGTAGAGATATTTTCAAGTATGCTACAGTATAAATCCAAAAAAACAGTGTGGCAGAAGTAAAATAGGGTCGCAGAAGTAAAACGGCGTCGCAGATCACGGCGTCGCAGATCGGAAAGGGTGTCGCAGAACCGAAAGGATGTCGCGGAACCGAAAGGATGTCGCGGAACCGAAAGGATGCTTTGCAGACTGCAGCCGCAACGGGGTCAGCATAAAACATGAAACACTAGTGCATACATAGGGGGATTAGGAGACGATTAGGGGACGATTCGGAGCGATGCAGCGACGGTTGGTGATGGTTAGAATGGCGGGGTGGGTGAGAGAGGGCGAGAAAAGCGGGTCTGACAACGAGCTGATTTTAGAGCGCGACACCTATTCGGGCTCCTTAGCCCTAACTTGCATAATGTTATAATCGTGGCTCGCAGGATACAAAATGCGAAAGAGTTCTTTCTCCTTTACTTATAACATGGCTTTTCCTATTTATACGTCATAATTCTCACAGTGCAAGCCATTTCATCTTCCACATTCCTGAAAATTCTAAACCACCACATATCACCTATTTCTTGCATCTAATCTTGAAATGGCTGCGGCAACTTCTAGCAAAACGAGTGTAACCCGTTCCGAGAGGAAGTTGGCTCACCAAAAAAGGGATCGTCGCAAGTCAAGTCTCATGAAGAAGGCGTATGAATATGGCAAGATGTGCAATGCGGACATTTGCTTCGGCATTCGGATTCGAGAGTCAGGTCATGTCTTTATATTTTCAGCGGATGCTTCGAACTTTTGGTCTTTTGTGGGCTCTCAGTTAGTACGTGAACGACATTTAACTGAAATAAAGGTTTCTAACATCTCCAGGGCTCTTACTACCCAAAGCCAGTTCACAAAACTGAACGTGACCTCTAAGTTGAAATGGAAGCATATATTCTACGACGTTGATACATATCCTCGCTCATTTGCAATTCTCTAATAAGTCGTATGTATGTTAGATTTATGAAGTCAAGAAGATTGTATGACTATTTATATAACTATTTGGGGCTCCTCAGGTTGTAGAACTTAGCCAACCGTGTGACCTGCGACGCCTATTTAGATACTGTCTTTTATCTGCTTACTGCTTTATCACTAGAGCATGAATTTTCCTCGGCTCACCCCAACGCTATGCAGGCGGTGCGATAAGACCATCGAATAGGGGGCTACTGCGGGACCCACCTTTTTAGTAGGCTGATAAGCCAATGAAATCTATCCTCACTGGGACAGCGGGATTGTCTAGCTGAGCAGCATCGCCATCCACTGCCGCCTCGAGACTATCTCAAGACTGGTCTGGGGCTAGAATTATTGGACTAGGAGAGAATTAGTACTAAGAACCAGCTCATATGACGTGATGTCTTCTGTGTGGCCTATGCTCTTCGGTGGGCCGTCTTGTGACTGATTCCCTCTCAAGAGGATTTTTCCATGAGCGGAGCCCTCTCGAAAGAAGTCTTCTGTTCTCGACCTCCCAAGTGGCCCTTGCTCTTGACATGCGCTAGCTAAAAAAAAGCTGTTGTCAACATTCTACCGTGTTACCTCCTACAGGATGCTCCACATAGCTCCATTATAGATACAAGATCAGACACTCATTCCAATACCGCTTCTGTTAGATTTCTCTCGGGGTGCTATACATCTTGTCTGCATTATGCTCTTGGTTCAAGCAACCTAGGCCTATGTATATCCTAAAAGGGGTATCTCATGAGCGACTAGATCCTACCATCTTGTACTGGGTCTAATACTCGAGAAGCCATCCAGAGCAGACACTTCTCCTTTAGCCGCGATTTTCGTTTTCTCATGCTCGAAACCCACAACCAAAGCATTACTCCCATCAGCAGTCGCTGCGCGGAAGCACTGGGCGGGCCTTAGGCTGAGTCAGGCAAGATTGACTAGCCATGAGCCCTGAGCCCTGTTCGTCATTCTTCCTGACAAGGGGCGATGCTCTGCTTCGAAGAAATCAATTTGAGTAATATGAAGATGTTTCACAGGCATTACCTGATACATGAAATATTCTCAAGATCTAAGGGGCCGATGCTCTTGAACCGGAATTTGTTCTATGAATAATCCGAACACAAGCAAGGTTTCTAGTGAAGGAATTTGACCTAGGAGGAAATTCTCAAGAATGGTACATTCTGGAGAATCTACTCTTATGACTTAAATTATTCTTGGGAAATCTTTCTTGAGACTCGATTCTTAAGAGGCTCTTCCTGTAACAATCTTCTTGGCCAACGAGTCTTAAAATGCCCCGCACAAGACAACTATATTCATAAAAATAGATTCTTGATGCTATATGACTCCTAATATTAACTTCTTACGTCGTATACGCTCTTAAGCCGATAAATGTCCTAAGAGATATTTTTTATGCGGCATATTCTACCGAGAAGATATTCACAAGAAGATGAAATGTCTTGCACTGTGACAATTATTACGTATAGACAGGAGAAGCCATGCTATAAGTAAAGCAGAGCAAGAGCACTTTCACATTTTACATCCCGCGAGCCACGATTATAACGTTGTGCAAGTCAGGGCCAAGGAGCCCGAATAGGTGTCGCGCTCTAAAATCAGCTCATTGGCTGACCCGCTTTTCTCACCCTCTCTCACCCACCCGCCCCATCTCCAGTCTGGGTGCGGTTGCGAAGTCGACACTAGTGTTTCATACCAAGACACTTAGGGCAAAATAGGCAAGAGAATGCATGACCTAGCACCGATTTCTATGCCTACCACCTTCTGGGACACGTACTTTTGTAGTCCGATCTCGTCATTCAGATTTAAGGGCGCTTCAAAGTATATTCATGCCTTAGGCGAACACAAAGGCGGTGTAGATAACCGCCTCTGATTACCTTTCTATTTCCTTTGTTTCCCCATTCAAGACTCAAACTCGCGCCGTGCTGTTTTGTTACCCGGACAGATTTCAGTATGTCTGCTATCCGCATTCAAGCCCAATCGCTGGACGACAAGCTTGTTGCAACAATCTCGAGGACACTCACCTCCGCTGGCGTACCGAATATTCTCTGGGGCAACTATTTACTGACTGTCTACGGGATCCCCACCATCGTTGACGTTTGTCTTCGCCCTCCATTCTAGGCAGGAAAGATGGCTGATGTTCAACCAGGGTGTGGCCTTCGTTGTAGCCGATGACTTGACCGCAATTGCCTCATCCTCTCTTCGGAAAGCTGGTTTTCCTGCCTGTGTGAAGGGCTTAAGCTGTCCTTTTTTAACCGCATACCAACGCCTGCCTCTTGCCGCGCATCTGCACATTGACGACGAGCTTGTGATATCGATATACCGCAAGTCGGACGTGCTATGGGAGCTTTCCTGGTCCGACCTCATTAGTGCTTCGGACCTTCGACTCCCATCAGCAGTCCTCGGCCGTGGTCGAGGGCGCTTACCCCCGAATGCGACTCTGTGCAAGTCCCACACCCTGTTCAATATTGCGAGGCCCTGATTCTGTTGCTTTGCCGTGATCACTGCACCAGATCTGCAAATTACTGGATGGCGATGCTGTCTTATATTCTGGAATATGTGGATGTGGATGAAACGGATGTTTTCGATGAGAACAGACTTGGGGGAAAATACCAGCCATTCTATCACGCCCTTAAAGGAGGAGAATGGTCACGGATGTATTGTCTTCTGGAAGAGCTTCGTAGAGACCTGATCTCGGAGCAACGTCTCCCAGCGAGGCAGGATTGTTAATCATCCACCAACAAGTGAACAAGACTAAATTTCAACGACTTTGGCAATGTCAAAGCCTTGAGCCTGAGAAAAATAGTATCCCCTTTGGTTAGAAACCACTCTCGTTTCTGTCTCCACGTCTCGGAAATCACAATTGAAATGTGTGTGACCAAAAGCCCAAAGCTTGACCACCTCTCGTTTCCAGCAGCGTTCACTTGACAAATTGGTCATGAAGCCGGAAGAGATCTTAGTGTGTCCATGTTTTGGGTCAACAATATTGTCGTGGACCAATGGACAGTAGTGGGTGAAGACAACCACTTTGCGATCAGGTTCCAAGCGCGAAATGGAATCGATTTCCTCATTTAGCCACTCAAGGTCCGCACGGTGCGCTTCTTGATGTGCTTCAACCGACCAATCCCGAATGTGATAAAAATCGTTCAGACCAAAACTGACGCTTTCCATCTGCGTTTGGGCCACTTGCGAGAACAAAGTACAGCCGAGGATGCTAAGAGTCGGTGAAAGGTCATAGCGTGTTTGATCGAGGAAAACAAGTTGGCCGAGCGGCTCGCTTCGATCATAAGACTCGCTGAGCCCAGCTTCGAAGCGTTTAATGCGTGACTTTGTTTCAGCCCAGCCGCTGTAGTATGGCTCGTGATTGCCGATAACGAGGAAGACGATGCGGAAAACTTCTAGTTGCCTACGAAGGAAGTCAAAGAAACCATCGTCCTTGACGTAACCGATATCGCCGATTAATGCTAAGTAGGGCGCCTTTGGGTCGACGTGGAAAATATCATATGCAGCCGGAGACTCCAGATGAAGGTCAGAGAGTATTTGGAACTGTGTCTCAGCCATCGGCGGCTAGATGAAGTCGAATTGTTGGGAGGTGGAAGAGTTGTTTCATTGTGAGGGGTACGGAGTTGCCAGCGCTAAATAGTGTTCGAGTTGGCGCCCACCGTCATGTGACAGAGAGGTATTGTCCTTGCAAGGAGGACTATAAATCGAGACCCATAACCAAGTGCCGAGAGATACTCATGGGAATCTTTTTCTAGATCGGAGTCAAACAGATCTCAAGTTACTACCCAGAGCTTGCCTTACCTACCATGTCTCAGCTGTCATTTCCTGAGTTGGAGGCAGCAGCTGGCTCCGTTATTGGAATCCTTCAAACCATGCCAGAATTCTCGAGTGCCAAGATTGCCGTGATAGGGGGCTTAGGTCTCTGGAAATACCTCCGAACCTATCGCACCACAGAGGTCCGTTTTCAAGACCCACCACAATTCGGGTATTTTCTGAAACATGCTTGATCAACCAGGACGTCGACTTCCTCATAACTGTCCAGGGGGCTCCTCAGGCAGTTAAAGATAAGCTGCTTGCTATGCCATCCTCCCCATTCCAACAACAGGCTCAGCTATTTGTCTACAAATCGTCAAATGGCAAATCAATTCAGATTGACATCACTCCTGATTGGCAGGTAAGCTTGGAGCCAGCCCTCATTCCACCAACCTCTAGTTAATGGCCCACAGTCACCTTATGTTCCATCGGCAGCACTGCCAGTATCGGCGGTTCGACGAAATGCTCTTCCATATATCTCCGAACTTGATCTGCTCGTATTTAAGATCAATAGTTGCGGATTACGACCCACGGCGGGGAAAAAGATTCGTGATGCAAATGACGCCGTGGAAGTGACGGAACATCTTAGCTCCAAAGGGCCTATTGTTTTGTCATCTTTCCAGAAGAATGCTGTGCTTCAAGGCCTGAATGATGCTATTCAATTGTCTGGCCATGACAGAGCATGGTGGATGGCGAAGCTGGGGCTGAAATAACGCCATTCATGCATCAATTGGATGAATATGGAGACATTCCATATGCATCACTATCCCAATCTATACGCGAGATTGTCGTTTTGTAAAGCAGGTCCTTTGTTGGCAGAAGGAAATACTTCTTTTTTTTGATGATGCTTTGTTCTACGCATTCCTCTGCTCTCAAAATGTGAATTCTCCTGTAGCATATGCGCATATTGGCCGGATTACTGGTTAGAAAGGTCTATCCGCCAGTGGAAGACGACGTTTAAGATGATATCTGGCCAGCCCGAAGAAGACATTATCTTTAAGAGCTCCAAGACGTCAGTAATCGATTTTCAGGGTTATTTGCCGAGTGTCTTTGGCTTGCTTCGGTCAAGGAAGCCGTTTCTCCGCTCACCAGCATGCTTATTATAACAGAAAGCACTGTTCTAGAAATTCATAGTTCCAGAAACCGATGCGAATAGTGGAAATGTATCTCTGATCCGCGGTCAAAATTTAAGAGGTGTTTGTCGCATCACTGGACTCGCAATATTGAGAGAACATTAGCTAAGATACACGTGACAACATAGCAAAATACCAAAGAACCTGAAGTCATGGTTATTCCAGCAAATCATTCTTGAGAGATGGCAAATGCCGAGAGATCCCGCTCATGTGCTGTGCCAAAAACAGGGGGTATATTCATAGAAATGGATGTACAGGTATTCAGGCTGCCGTATGATGACGAAGCAGAGCATTATGATCGATGGCGCCAAAACAGAAAAGTCGCAGATTTCTATTCAATTTGTAACCTGGAAACCCCTGAATCGGTTGTGTACAGAACTTTACTACTATAAAGACCCTAAATACTAGTCCCGTCGGCCCTATATATATATACTCTTAACACAGCTCTCTTGACCGAACTTTTCTGATAGTTTCTTATAGACCTAGATAGACCCGCGTAGACTAGACCTGGATAGACCCGCGGACAACCCATATAGGTCGACCCGTAGGTCAGCCTATAGGCGGGTCGTGGGTTAGACCTCTTAATCTATAGACGGGTCAAGATTTTTTTGACCTATCCCGCGGGTTAATAAATTAACTTATTTAACCTATTTAGGTAGATACTTTGTTAACTATATAACTTTTATAAATTATATTATTCTTAGCTATATTTTTAGGTATTATATTTATTTTAGTTAAATAATTTTTTATAGTAATTAGGAGAATAATTCTTAAAAAATAATTCTAAAGAATATTATTTTAAATATTAATTGATTTTAATTTTAAAGCTTATAATTATTAAGTATTTATAGGTATTTACGAACCTTATTAAAAATCTATAAGAGGCTATAATTATCTTTATAATTACTCTTTAATTTTTTTTACTATAATTAATAAGATATATTAACTATAATTATTAGATTTATAATATCCTCTTTTTTATTATTATTAATTAATATAATCTTTTTATAAGTCTTTTAGGTCTTTTTTTCTTTCTATATAATTTCTAATTTATTTTACTCCTAAAGCTCTTAAATAAATATAAGCTACTTCTTCTTAATTTTAAATTTAATAATATATATAAATATTATTAGATTCTATATAGTAGATATATTTAGTATCTCTTATTAATAATAGTAAATATTATATATAAAATTAAATAATTATTTAATACTAATATTAATAACTAGGATTAAGAGGAGATTATAAATAAAGTTTATAAAATAGGAAATTTATATTAATAATCCTTCTAGAACTAATAAAATAGGATTAGGATAGTATCTAGATAGAGGATAGATTATAATAATTAATATAATATTTAGATAGATTAGAACTAATACTCTTATTAAAACTAGGGTTCTAAGATAGGCCTTAAAACCCTAGTTCTAATAGAGGTAGAAAAATAGAAATTTAATAGATTAGAACTAGGGTTTTAAGTAATTATTTAGAACCCTAGTTTTAATAGAGATATATATAGAAACTTACTTTTTTTAATATATTATATTATCTTAGTGTTACGAACCTCCCAGGACAGCCCCACTCCCAAGAATACCGAAGAGATAGCGATACCCTATCAGATACACCGCCTTGAGATTACTGGTCTAGAGGGGAACTCCCAGGAGAACTGTCTCAAGACACAGCGTTAGCATCACGTGACCAGAAGGGAAACCGTGGCGGTTTCACTAACACCCTAGGATACGGAGTAACGCAGGGAACTTATAGGGGTCACGTAAGGAGACTTATCGGGCGATAAAACGAAACTTATTAAGCGATAAGTTCGGAAGATACCAGGCGATAAGTCCCGGACTCATCGCACGGTGAGAGGAGCTAGATATATAAAGAACAGTCTTTACTATATATATTTAGTTCTTCGTGATCAATCTTTATACTATTATTACTTAAGTACTATTTATAGTCTCGACTATAAAGCTAAATATCTTAACGATCTCGGGAGCTTACTTAGTGATCCTTGATCCCTAAGTAACTAACTTAATCGGCGCCCTAACTATCACACCTTATAAGTACCCTAGAAACCTAAGTCTATCTAAGGCCCTATATAGTATTGGTACGGTTGCGGACTATACTTAGGGATTCGTAGTATTCTAAAAGAAGTATCACTCTTTAAGGACCCTACTCACCGTGACTAGTTAGCGGTTCGTAATATATTAATCACCCTATTAGTCGAAACTGTGAAGCAGTAGTTATTATATCTTTATATAGTAGTAACTATAAAAGCAAAATAGCCGAACCTATACCTCCAAAAACCTAGATACGTCAACCTGACCCAGAATCAGAAGACGAAGATAAGAAAAGAATTAAGGAATTAGAAAGACAAATCAGCACCCTTATCAGTCAACTTACCGTGTTCGAACAAAAACACGACAGCGAAATTAAGAACCTTCACGACTTAGTCTAGCAAACTAATATTCAACTCTAAACTCTATCGCTAACGGCACTATAGCTATCTAAGGCGGAAAACTTCGATAGAACTCGCTCTAAGTTACAAGGATTCCTTATATAAATAAATATATACCTCGATATTAATAAGTATCGATTAACCACTAAAGCGAGCAAAGTCATCTTCGTGTTAACCTATCTACGGGGACAAGTATAGGATTAGCTCGAACCATACGTCCGAGAATACTACGAAAAGGATAGCCCGGAATAGTTAAATACCGCACGAAACATCTTTAGCGGTTACGGCAATTTCAAAACCTATCTTAAAAAAACATTCGGCGACGTCGACGCAAAGAAAATAGCTAAACGAAAACTTAGGCAGCTCTAATAGATAAGATCGGTATCAGCCTATACAGCCGAGTTTATATAGCAAGCAGCGATACTTAGATAGGATAATTACGCTCTAATTCTATACTACGACGAAGGATTAAAGTCCCACGTTAAGGACGAAATCGCAAGATATAGAGACTTCGATACTATAAACGCGCTTATCGACTTCGCGGTCTATATCGATAACAGATTCCACGATAGATAAATACAGAAACGAGAGATAGAAGGATAGAGACAAGGTAACGGCCGTCTATCCCACCAGCGATTCTAACCTTAACGAGCGTAATAGCCACGCTCTAACGACCTATATAGTCCACGACTAATAGAACTCGATATAGTAAGGCTTCCTAAGGAGGAGCAACGTCGATATAAGGAAAACAACCTATACTTTAACTACAGAAAGCCAGGATATCGATCGAAAGAATACAAGAAACACAACGACAAACCGCATTAAATACGAGCAACGAATAAAAGGCTCGATAGAGGAGCATACGATACTACCGGTATCGTAAAAGCCAAGAAACGAACCTAGCAGCTCTACGTAACAAGAGAGTAAGAACGGGAAGGACCAGTAATTATAGACGGTAGCAAACCACCGTCACTAAAGCAGAAAACACTACGAACACAAAACTTAGATAGTGAAATTAGCTAACTCCGAACGGCTTTATCAGAAGTACACGACAAAATAACCTCACGAAAAGAAGGACTTAAGAAATAGACAGAGATCCTTGATTAACTAGCCGACCTATACCAGTTAAAGAAACAGCAAAGTAAAGAATTCCCAGAGATTAATTAAGAATATATCGAGAGTTAAGGATAGACCTAGTACGGTTCCTAGAATACCATCGACTCCTAGAACGAATAGAGTAACTCCCAGAAACGGGAAACAGATATCCTAGAAATATCAATTAAGATCCTAAGAACCCCGGAGATCCAAGAAACTCTACCCGAACTTCTAAGGACGGCAACTTACCTAGAAACGCCTACGAAATCCTCTAGAAACAACGAAAAACAACCCGAACAGACTCAGAGTACCTTAAGCGACGAGGCAAAAGATCTCCAAGATAAGCCGGCTCAAGAAGAGCGATCCTAGAATAAACCCATATATCTATATAAATATCCACGATATTCTTGTCGAGGCTACACACGACACCCAAAACACAGTATCCGTGCGGTTCTAGGATACTACAATCACGATTACGTAATCTATCGATAAGGAAAATTAAATTATAGGATTAAACCACAACTATTGTATTAGGAAAACCCGCTACAATAGAAACCTAAATTCGTAGGCACCTAACGAGGAAATAAGAAACTAAAAAACCTACAATAGCTTGTAGCTACCCAATAGGGAGCCTATATAAAGGTTATAGTCAATATTACGTACAAGGATACACGAGCAATAATCAATTTAGGGGCTTCAGGAAATTTTATAAGCCCACAATATTGCTAATAGAAGAACGTTCAGCAGAACGAAAAGAAGAATATCTCACCTATTATTGGCCTCAACGGAGAAAGGCTAGGACCAGGAATCACACACAAAACAGGTCGACTTCCTATGGTTTTAGGGAATCATTTCGAAACTATTAACTTCGATATCACCAACCTTAGAGAATATAATATTATATTAGGAATTCCGTGGCTACGGCGACATAATCCGGCGATTAACTAGATAAAAGGAATAGTTATCTTCAATAGATATAGATATCGATAGATAAGTAAGACATAGACCGGACTCGCACGATAATAACGAA